TATATATATTTAAAATTTTATATAAATTAAATAAATATTCATTGAATATAAGTAAAAATAGTAATTATGGTTTTTTTGTAACACACTGTATATGTTTCAAAGGTTGACCGTGGCTATTTATTCTACAAAAATACTGAATCTTTAGTTGAATAAAGTCAATATTATGCTGTCATCGTTGATAATTTATTAAATCTCTATTTCATTAAAGACGAAAGCAAATCGTATATGGGTTAATAAAAAAAATAGACGCGACACGATTTCATTTAATTTTATTCCAACGAAATATTACTTTTGTAAAATCGCTAGAAAAATATTGCAAGGTAAAGATTTAAATGTTCAAAATATCGCTTAGAAACGAGTTTTCGAATTCAGGATATCATAGCAGGAAAAATTGTACATGTATATCTTTTTAGATAATTCCAGTTAAAGCGTAATTTGTCAGATGAAGATAATATTTATAGCGTAAGTCCTTTTATCGTTATCGTTATATTTATACAATGCCAAATTGTAACATAAGTCACGTGAAATGTATTATATTTTTATTATTTTATTATACAATGGTGAATTAATTTCAAGACATGAAAAAAATTTTTTTAACATGGTGCGTAGATTAATGTTACATTCTAATAGAAGTATGCTTTGCTGAGAGATTATTTTGAAAGTGATTGATTGTGCTTGGATTAAACATGATGGCTTCTGCAATAGCGATCTCGGCAAATGCTTTAAGTGGATCGTCAGGAAGGCTTAGCCGAACATGAGGCGGATTGTAAACAAGAGGCTTTTCAATGCGCGGCCAAACAATCTCAATTGATACTCGGCGACTTCTTGAACGTGGCAGAATGTTTGATAAATAACAATCAGACGACGAATTACGCTGCTTGGGTTCGACACGGCGAAATGCTGTTTTTGGCGAAGGAATAATCGAAGAATAGGTCGGCATAAATGGATTAGATGGTGGCTGAGATGATGGTAATGAGAATGAGTAGTCGTACTGTTGTTGATGCTGATATTGATGTTGATATTGATACTGTCTAAAATTTGTGTTTATTTGTTGTTGCTGTTGTTGTTGTTGATATTGTTGTAGTAATTCGTTCGATGTCATTTTAAGCCAGACTTGGGGCATTGAAGCAGCTTGTTCCCATGGCTGTAGTTCTCTATCGAGTCTTGTATCTGATTTAAGAGTTTTTTTCTTTAAGTTTGGTTTAAACTGATAATCAGGAAAAACATCACTGTGTATCAGATTTCCAATGGCCGCAAGAAACGTGAAAAAATTTCGTCGTTCTTGCGTTTCCGCTTCCCATTTTTCGGAAGCGATTTTGGAAATGTCAGTGAATTTTGTGTCGGGAAAAAAATGCAAGGTTTCCGCCTGCACTTCCTTTCGGTATATCACATAATCGTTTTGCGGGCGTTGGGTCGTGGATTTTGTGCGAGTTTTTTTGCAAGGAGCTAATAGCTCTTCAAGCGACAAGAAAAGAGACGGCACCTGAATACCTTTACGGATTATCTCGGATTCTATTCGTCTCGCGGTACATTGTTGCCACGTCTTTTCCCATTTTTTCTGCTTTTTGCGAAGGGTCGCGGTTGCTTGTTGACGTTCGGTTTTCACTTTTGACATTTCTTGCTCGATGATGTAATTCGAGTCGTATTTATAGATAGGCCGGTGATTAATTTTACGTGTGTGTGTTGAATGATTAGAGGTAATGCTTTTATAATACAAAAAATTGACATAACACATATCAACAATCAAACACACAAATAAGGAGATTATTAAAAGTTTTCTTTGAATCAGATGACGGTTCACCGTTTTCCACGTTTAGGTAGAGTGGAAAAGAAAAGCCCCCGCTCTGTTTTCCGTTTTTTGTTGTTTGAGTAGCGCATATATGTCCAAAATGAGATTGAATGGAAATAAACTTTGCGTTAAACGCCAATACCACGTAATGTTACACGGTAAAACTTATCCGATTGACAGGACAGAAATGAATCGATAAAGGAAAGTGACCCGAAAATCAACTCTTGGTTGTGCTTGAGTGAATGAGCGTGTATGTGTGTTGGGTCTATTTTTTTTCAAACACAGCATAATATCAAGCCTAAACTTTGCCACATTTAGAAACACTTCATGCAGAATATCATTTTGTCATCTGGAACATGTGTTTGTTATTTTGTTGATCGAAAGAATAAGGAATGCGATACATGGAAATGTAACCAAGAAACATGAAACGTCATATCAATATTGATAAAATTAACACTTTGCCACAACTTTTTCTCTTATTAATTGTACGAAGCTCGGAACGAGATTCGGAGCGTATACATTGAACCGAGACAAAAATCAACTAGCTCGCTTCTCTCTCTCCCTCTATATATATACATCTTTCTTTTTTTTTTTGAAACAGTATCACGAAATACATGTACACGCCTTTTTGCTCATTTTTTTATAAGCTAACGCATCCACTTATATTTTCAGTTATCGATCATAATGCTAAATTCCGTTTGTAAAAGATCTCTTTCCACCTTTAAAAGCCGTTTTCAACATATTATAAAAAGAATGCGTAATCAATCGATATTTTGTAAAACAATGTATGTACGTGTATTTAGAAAATCAATCATCTCAATATAACGATAAATAAAGTAATTGACATACGTATTTATTCTTATTTGAGAAATGTACGCTTTCTTAAAAATGGTTTATTGGGGTAAAGCGTTTTTATTGGTTATTAGTATTAGTAAAAGAATCTTTAAAGAATAAGGATAAAAAGCTTACACATTCAGAAAACAAATTTAGCTACTCTTTCCTATACAACAGCATAAAGAGAATACTGAAAATTGACAAGCAGGTTTGTTTCTGTCTCGGTTATATTTTTATCATTTGTTCTTTTCTGAGTTATTAATATTAAGATATGTCAATAAATAAAATGTGTTCAAAGTAAATTATGAAAGAGACGTAATCATTAATTTTGGATTTCTATTTTTGTCTGTTTTGATCAATACCTAAGATGAAATTTAATTTATACAGTTTCAGATAGGATTATAACGTTTAACCTTACTAGCGCTAGTATTAACCTTAATCTCTATATTCTAACTTGATTGAATTGATTTTCTCTGCGCTAGTATTTTGCGTATAGTTGAACGAATGAATCAAAATCAACCATGTGTCGTGTGTGCTAATGTTACTTTAAGTTTTAAAATAACTAGATGATAACGATATATACTAAGTCACCGTTTTAACAATCGTAATAAATATAAATCGTCTACAATTTTAGTTCATTTAACATCTTAAGTAAAATAATCAAAAAATTTTTCTTTCATAAATGATTGCTCGATCACGCCGAATTTAATTGGAAATGTTGTCAAACTTGTTTCGACGTCGTTCCTTTGGTTAAATCAGTTTCTTATTTATATTAATTGCTATCATCACTAACTACTTGTTGTTCTCGAATTTTTTTGTTTTAAGTAACTTTAAAAGTTGCTCCATGTCAGTCCATTTTTACCTCACGCGTTTCAGTATACGTAGTACATGTCCATTCTTAGTGTTTGCTATCCTAGATGAATGAATTTGATTTACTATTGTCTCATCTAATGTTTCTTTTTATCTACTCAGCTAACAAGTTTTCATTGTTTAAAGCTTCAGCTCGCAGTAAACTGTCCATTTAATTCACTCCCTTATCTACGATCAATGTATTATGCACAACGATTTCGTTTATGATATTACCAAGTCCATGTCAAAGAGCAGAACGCGATCGATAGATAATTGCCGAAAGAAAAAACGAAGTTATTTGTACACGTACCAGGTTGATGTAACCAAGTCAATTTTTTTTTTGCGATCATCAAGAAGTAAAAAACGAAAATATCCACAGTACATTAATATCACTCAATTTTATTATCCATTTTCCCTGGTTCACACCATCTTAAATATAGATATCGATGACGTCTAGCTTTGGAAAATATTATTGTAGCAAAATATAAATGGATTTGATCTTTAAAGGTTACTTTATATTTTGTTACAGCACTTTGATTATTTTTTTACTATCATACGTTATACGAAAAAACTCTCTTTAGCTTAGCAAATTTTCATTATACAGAATCTTCCAAATTCTAGAATTTATATTATACTCTTATAGTAAATGTATTGTTATAGTTGAACGCTGTTTTTTTAACTGTACATTTGGCAGAGTTGCTTTGTATTTCTGCTAATAAGACATCAATCAACTACTGCTTAGAAAAGAATAGTTTGCTTATTAAGTGATGCTGAAAATTTTACGAATTTTAAAGTCATTGATAGTCATTGTCTTGAATACATCTATCTTAAGAAATAATTGTCTTATTTCAAACCACATTTGGTTTCCAAGTGACATATTTAAACAAATCTACCATATTATGAATTCAGCTTCGGGAGAGGATAACTTTAAATAGCACATGTAGTTATTATGATTATGATATAATATAAATAATTATTTTTTTTTATTTCAAAAATTATATATGAATTTTAAATAAATATTATTCTTATCAATAAATCAATTTTATATACAGTCTTTTCCTCCATGCAGTCATCTCCTATATAGTCACTCCTCTCTACAACTACATCTTTTGCCAATTCTAGATGTTAGAAAGCATAGAAAATTTGACTTCTATACAGTCACAATCTCTTTAAAGTCACATTTTTTGCCGTTCCCAAGGACGTGATTATATGGGAGGAAGACTGTATTAAGCAAATTAATTATAATATTAAATTGATTGTAAAATTTTTTTCAGATTTAATTAAAGTTATAATAAATTTTTATAATATTTAATTAAAGTTCTAATAATAGATTTGCTCTTAAATAAAATAAAATTTCTTAATTTGTAAATTTAATCTTCTTAATGAATATTTATAAAATGCTATTAATAAATACATATCCTATCACAAATTATCAAAATACTAAAAAAATATATAGTAAAACATAATAAATTACAAAGTTTCTCTATAAATAAAAGTCTTTAATTTGATTAACAAACCTTTTTTATTTTTTGTATTAAAAGAAAGATAATAATATATAGTTTTATATATGTTTTTTTAAATTCTTTTAATTCTTTCTGAAAAATTTGCTCTAATTATAAATAAAACCATAATAAAATTTTTTTCTATAAATTTATAGTTTAATTAAAAAAAATTTTTTTAGTGACTTTACAATTAGAATTATACTTTTAGAAAGAATTCAAAGAATCTGAAAAATATATATGAACTATAAATTATTATTGTTATTAATATAAAAAATAAAAAAGCTTTATTAATAAAATTTAAAATTTTTATATAAATTATATATTTTTTTGATCTATTAATAATTTATAATAAATATATAAAAACGGATAATTTATAATAAATATATGTAAATTAATTTAAATAATAAAAAACTTATATTAATATATATACAATCTAGTATAAAAAATAAGAACTTTTTAATTTTAAATAAAAATTTATAAAAAAATAATATTATTTAAATAATATATATAGAATATAATAAAAAATATTATTAAACTTTCTTATAAATTTGAGTTTAGATTCATTTTTTAAAGCTTTAACAAAAATTTTTTTAAAATTATTTTTAATAAGTTATTTAATATATTATTCTTAAACTTATTTATTAAATTATAAGAAATATAAATAATTTTTATTTGTAATAAATAAATTATTTTTTATAAAATTTTTTTATATATAGTAACCATCAAAAATGATGCAATGCTTAAATATTTTATTAATTATAATTAATAAAAAATTTAAGTGTTGCATTACTTTTGTTGGCCACTATATATATAATTTTTTAATCATTTTATAAATTAATTTTTTAATTTAAAAATTAATTTTAAAAAAGATATCAACATTTTTTAATAAATATTTTAAACTTTTTTATAATATTAATATATATAAACTTTATTATATTTAAATAATTTTTATTAAATTATAAATTTTAAATTTATTAATTTAATAAATTAATAAATTTTTAAAGATTATAATAAATAATATTTTTATTTAAAAATCTACTATTTATAAATTCAAAAATTTTATTATCTTTTAAATAATTTATTTATTTAACTTAATCTTTAAATTTTAATTTTATTAATAAATTTAATATAAATTAAAATATTATTTTATATTAAAGATATTAATTTATTAAAAAATAATTTATTTTAATAGTAATTTAATTATAAAATTATTATTAATTTTTTTTAATTAAAATTTTATTTTTAATCAAAAAAGTTTTTTATAATAATAACTTATATAAAAAATAATAATAAATAAATTTTTTGAAAAATTTAAAAGTTTATAAATATAATTAAAATAAAATATTTATTTATAAAATTTATTTAAATAAAATTATATAATATATATATCTTTTATATTACTATAAATCTAAATATAATTAATATATTGCTAATATATTAAAAAATAATTATATTTAGAAAATTTTTTATTTTTTCTTAACTAATCTAATAAAAAATTTAAATAATACAGATTTTTTTATATTATATTTTTCTTAATTTTATTTTTTATATTTTATTTTAATAATATTCAAATATTTTTAATTAACTTAAAATTAAAATTATATAATAATTAAGAAAGAATATGATTTGAAAATAATTTTA